CAGATCCAACATGTGGATGAGACCATCTTTACGTATGCGAGTAACATTTGTTACCTAACTGGACGAGGTTTTGCCGATGAATCCCTGAACAGTTTGTCCTCCTCTAGAGTTAAAATGAATTACTTACGTAATTACTGGAAGATTTGGAAACGTTCGTAGAATGAGCAGAAATACTTGAACGAAGGAACAAACAATCCCAAAAGTGTTTCGCAATTCAGGCACGCCACCGCTCAACGGCTGACGCAATCGACAATGAAGGGCATACCCCCACAAAGAATCCTAGTGAACCTATACAACATCACCGTGCACGGGAAATCAAAACAGAAACACCTGGAGAACTTGGTGGCAGCCTCATAGAGAGTTGAACAATACGGCTTTAAGCTAAAGTCCACAAAATGCCGTTTCCCACAACCCTAGATGAGCTTTTCGGGATAAATAATCTCTTTTGCTGGAATTCATAATGACCCTGAAAAGATCGAACAGGTAGCAAAATGGTGCACTTCACAAAACTGTAGACGAGAAACGTTTTCTGGGAATGAGGTCGTACTTCCGACCTTTCCCTGTACAATTTGCTCGTTTTGCCTCTCCTTTCAAAGCGCTGTAAGAGGAAAATAAACCGCTCCCGTTGAATGCGGCATGTGACATGACGTTTGCTGAAAGTCAGTAGATGTTTTACTCCGCGCCTGTACTAACACCACCAAACATGTCACCTTCTGCTGGTCAGTTCATCTTAGATATGAAAGCCAGTGGTTCGACGATTGGGACGGTATGGACACAAATCAGAGAAGGTGGAAGGGACCACGTATTAGCCTATGGAAGTCAATGCCTGAGTAAATCAGAACTTGATTACTACACGACGAGAAAGGAAATATTAGTACTAGGATTTTTCCTGAGACGATTAAGGCGTTATCTAATGGGAGACTTATAGTTATGAAGAGGATGGCATCAGTACTGGCTTTCGTTAGTGCTACTCGCCTCTCTGGTTGGGGTCAAAGGAACGTGGATTATAGTTGGTTAGACATTTTGAGGGATATGGGTCAGGATAGAAGTCAGTGGCTCGAATGCTTTGCTGTCTGCTCGTCAAACTCTCGTGCCAACCACTCACTAAAATGTCATTTCGACAAAACAAATACATGGCGACATCAAACAGTGAAATCGCAGCTGAAGGCTTTCAACGATCAAAATTCTAGTAAATGAAACCGCTTATTGACACTTTTTCCCATTGCTTACCGTGGTGGCATCCATAGTTTTACTAAACAGAAGCCACACTTTTATGGACAGGAATGGAAATACGACGCCCCAAAGACAGACGACCAAGTTGTGTCAACAATCGGAAAATGGTTGTCGTGGGTATGTCTGCAACGTGTTGGGCATGCTGAAGCAAGCCAGCCAATCATCTCGTAGTCATATGCAGATAGCTAATATATATTAAAGAGAGTTTTTCAACAGGAAATCCTCCAGCCCTCTCTTGAAGACTGTTTATAAGATATGACCCCATAAACGCAACCAAACCCAGTGATACCTTCAAAATTCCACAAAGAGTGGCACGGGCTTTTCACCGCTTCAAAGAACAGAAGGAATATAAAATTATGAAAACGCATTTTGCACACGATTTGAGCTTAGATATGGCTCAGAACCTTTATTTAAGTGAATAATCCTTTTTTCGCATCCATCTTGTAAAATACTATGTTGCAGTAAGACGGGGTCTGCAAAATGCTACCACATTTTGATAAAGAAAATAACTTCCAAAGGGCAATAACTATATCCAGCGAGAAGGTTTCCCTGTAAACTACCGTACTTCATTGTAATAAGGGACGAGTTTAAGTAGGCTGCTTTGTTTTTCCGCCGCTCTGAAGCAAGCCCCATAAGCCGAACAAAGGTAAACACCTGTTGTAATGGCGGATAAATTACACAAACTCGTCTCTAATTGGTTTAGCTATCGATTTAAGTTTTGTGATGTACACCGATATTGAGGGGCTTCCAAACGCGTGACCTTTAGTGAGAAATTCACAGGGAAAATCGTCACAATGGCTTCACAGTCATAAATCTCTTTACACCGGTTGTTATGGTCTGCTTTGAATCATCACTGAGCTTGCTGGGGATCAGAATAAACGATGCAGAATTCATTGGGTTCACAATATCAATGTTTCCAGTGTGTCAGATTCGAATTTCTTCTTGGAAGACCACTTTATTGCCGAATACTGCTTCAGATTATGCTTCCCATGAGAGTGTTCATCTTATAGCGATTGGTATATCAACGTAATTGGTCTATGCTTTTAGAATAGAAAAACCATTGACACCTTGATGATTCTGTGGTCACAACTGTCCCCTTAAAGCTCCGATTTTATTATGATGGATAATTCATTTTCAATGCCGAAGAAACAATCTGTTGCATTTTCTCCTCAATGAGCTACGGAAATGAAGATAATGTACTTCGACGAGCACAGGCCAAAGGGTAATACGTCCGTGAAACGTTGTATTGAAAAGTGACATGGAACTTATTACTCCTTATTTTCCATTTTCCCTTCACACTGTCTCATGTTCGCCAAGTGAAAAATGGCAAATCCGTTAAAGTGTTCGTTCTATACTCTTCAAAGAGAAGAAAAATGACCCGGAATTTAATCGTGTTTAGTTTTCACCCAACGAAATTGTGCGCGGTTTAAACTTTTGTCTGGGTGCAGAATTTTCTGTAGGGATAGATGACCTCCAAAAGTCAACAAGTTCTTCCGAATAATGAAAATACCATTACTTTCTCTCAAGTCTTACAACAGAAAGCTTTTCGTACTTACAGTGTTTTACTGAAAATAAGATCCAATCATATAATTATTTCAGCCTAAAAAATTGGACTAGGGATTATTTTTGAGATGTCTGATTTTCCATGTTCATTGATAATCTACTTTTAGTTTTGACCAAAATTCTACATGCATTCAAATATAGTCATGTCATCATCTTTAATATCATCATGAATCTTCAAATCCCGCTTCCCAGCTTCAATTTCTCCTTGCTCAACTTCTTCTAGAACTATTCACCTGTCTTCCTCTTGTTCAAGAAAAAAGTTTACTTTACCCGAACATTCATTGTTTATGTAGCCTAATCGTGTTGTAGTGGTCTGATCACAGGATTTCTTCACGTGAACTACGCTTCAAACATTTTCCACGCTGGTTTCTCAGTCGTCTTTTGCAAATGTAGTCCTTCGTTTCTATGACCAAATGGTTCTTAAACAGTTTATATACTGCGGTATGAAGCGATTAGAGATATGAAATAATTCCCGTGGGAATCATTGTTAAATCCATACTAATATCTGAGAAACTGTTCTCCTCGTCCTAAGCGCCGTGGGTAATGGCTGAATCCTAGAATAACAGACCTCGTTTATCCCCTGACAAACAAGATGCAGAATCAAGTCAAAACACTTTCTTATAACTGCTTATGGGAATGAGACACATTCAGATGAAAGAGCGTAAAAACCTGAAACACCTTCAAATTTGATCAGTTCAGACGTGAGGGTCTTCAATCTTATAAATGATGTGAAATCCGCTATGGGTGGAGAATATACAGGTTGATTCTTCATTATCTATAAGATTTAGGCTCATCATTCCTAGGCTCATTTCGACAAATAATCCCTAAATTTCTTCATCTGTCAAACTATAAGGAACAGTACTTCTGGAAGATGTCCACGGCCAATCCAAGGCTACCGAAAAAGGAAAGTGACCGTTGATGTTGGGAAGCGAACCCAGGACGTCATGATCAACGAATGAGACAATCTCTATAGATTCTATGGCATTGGTAGAATTTTATTGCTCAATAACACAGCGTAGTCGAGATCGTTGGTAGGTTGTCGACGTTTCGGTCACCACGGGTAACCTGTTTTCAAGACTGGGTTTACAACCGAATGAAACTGGTAACGTCGACAACCTACCAACGATCTCGACTACGCTGTGTTATTGAGCAATAAAATTCTACCATAACATTTCACATGGCGCATCGATTTTTCGATACATTCCGAACCGATTTCATTTCTAACACATTAATTCTACGGCATTGTTTTATTTCGGACAAGTGCTTCTCAGTGCCGAACGAGATATTAGAATTAGGCAGGTCAGCATGAATAGGAAAATCTGAAATCAAAACGGACAAAACAGAGAGATGTCAAACACTCGTGGTTGCAGAATTTGCAAAATATGCGGGCCCAGAGAACTATTTGAATCCCAATTCAGTAGAAGATAATCCTCGTATTTTCGTCGTCAGGATAATGTGTGCAAATCAGTCTATTCGGGGCATTCTTTAATTATATCATAATAAGAACAGTTTGCATGCATGGGGAAACCATATGAAACAATAAAAGCCTATGCATCCATAAAGTGGTGATTCCGGTATTCGATTCATCATTCCAGTAACTGTTTTCTAGTTAAAATCAACTAAGAATATTCTATTTACTGGGATACATGATACATCAGCCGGGAACGTGCTTGTCATATCACCGGCAGTTTACATTTCCTGTGTCAGAATTGAAGAATCCACGTGGAATTCATATTGCAGAGGCGAATACTGAAGCAGCAGAACGATGCAAACATCAAGCCGATTAGACCAACCGGTCGTGAGACGCGGACCAAAGAACAGACGACGAATTTGTCAGAAGTATCCCCCAACAAACAAAAAGAGGAATTCGGACTAGCAGACAGAACGCAGCGGGATATTTTGCAACCAGGAAGATAGCTCAGGTGAGTAGCTACCGAACAAGCCTTCAACTGAAGCAATCGGATCAGCTGAACCTAAATAATGAGTAAGAGAATCAAACTAACGGCCACAGTGAACTGGCCAGAATGCAGCCAGAATACTCGGGCAGTCGGAGGATCAAAGCTGCTGTAGCTCGGTTTGGAGAACGGACCATATAAATGGTTACATATGTTCCACGAACTTGTCCTAATACGAGTGTCCTCACTCGTCTCGCCATCTTCGTTACTATATGGAGTAAAAGGGGCACGAGCAGGAAGGATAAGTATATGAACCTTGTCGTCCTTACTGTGACACAACATGATCCCATCAACAAATCGCCTAAAAACTATAGTGTAAGACAACGAGCTGTGCACAATGACATCCTTGTCATTTCGTGCAAGGTCAGACTGGTAGAGAATCATGATGGGCATCCTAGATTCGTCCAAATAGTCTTTACCTTTTTTGTACTGTATTCTATTCGTAGATAATAAATTCTGTCTCTCTTGTTAGCCTACAGGCTTATCATTCATCTATATCAAAAATGAGCAAAACTTTGCTTGAGTGAGGTGCATTTCACTGTTTTCACTTGCATGCTGATACTTGCGTACGAATATGAGTACCAAACAGGTAACCAGCTATTTGACTTCGAACCAGCTCAGCAATGAGTTCCATGTGATAAAGCTTTCACTTCCGTGAAAAATAGAAGAAACGTTTATGTACGCTTAATGGAATAAGCAAAGCTATATGCCGAATTTTCCTTACCATGAAAGACTTGCAGAATATGCATAGCATTAGAGTACAGTTAAAAGTGTTCTCTAAGAAAATTTACACAATCGTCTAAAATTGCGGTGGTAAGTCAAATGAGGTCTTTTACAAATGTTTTGGCAAATTATGGCTTATCCGTAAAGTTAAGTATCACATTCTTGCGGTGCAAACGGACAATACTTACTCACACAAATGTCAAACGAGACCATATTTAGGCATTGTTTTTGTCCCCACTGTGATTGCATTTACTCATGGGCCTATTCAAACGCATTTTAATAGCACGTTACCATTTCCTGATCGTGGCAACAGTATCTGCGAGCAACAAACGTTCGTACTGGTACGAAAGAGGGCAACCTGAATAATTTGTACAGATCGAGACAGGACTCGAGACTTGAAGACGGAGAATAAGCTGAGCTGGAGAGATTCGAATGGGAAACATGCTAAAACCGTTCCCATTCTGAGCTTGCTGTGAGCTCATTTACACCGACTTTACGCATGATTCGTAATCTGTGATCAGTAAAGCATCGGAGCCGAGAGTCATCAATACGGGTGGTATTTCGGTTGTTGCTGAAGTTAAGTGCTGTATGCCTAATGTCGGTGAATCATAATCCTACTCGACCGGTCCAATTCCCAGCTCCAGCTCGACAGGTGCACATCGCCACAGAGGATTCCCAAAACACTAACGAAAACAGTGATAAAATATTTCCCGTAATAGCAGCTCATCGTTCCCCTGAAGTTTTGAGATTTTTTAACAAATAGGATGGAATTTCGACTTGATTATTTTTTTACTATGCTGTGAGCAGCTAATTTGCATGAAACGTTAGTAATTTTTGAAGTTCGCCCCAGAATACGTGGTAAATCAGGAAAAAAAATATTCAATTCGAATGAGTTCAACCACTGACTGACAAATGGTAACCAGTTTCTATTCCTGTATTCCTCAGTAATGTCTTGATGAAGAATCCCAAATCTGATACCGAAATTATTGGCTTCAAGAACTGGCGTAGGTCGCAGTTTAGGAGGAAGGTTTTCATTAGTTCTTATGTACTAATGGTGACATCTCGGCTGATGATGAAACGTTTGTCCCCTGAATTCCAAGCTCACTAATCAGAGGTTGTTGAAGACGCGCAGGCATACGATTTCAGAATTCTCCGGGAACCTCACACTTCTATCCTGTTGAACAACAGTAATTCAGTGTCGGGTAACAATATGCGAAAATTCAACTCAAATCGGTCAACAAACAAAACTAGACTTGTGATCTCCGAATTCCGCTACAGATTCGCGGAAGTAAAATAAACCGAGTAGTGAAGAATATGTTACCAAAACGAAAGTGTACCACATGTCTCCGACACTGATACCAATTTAAACCATGAGCACCGACAAGTCAAATCAGAACGTTTCCAACATAAGCCTTACTTCCTGAATAGGCCCCAATGAGAAGCGACATATTCTGAGTGATCCGATAAGGCAGAAGTATGCTGACGACTATGGTCAGGTCACAACGGATAAGACAATTTAAAAGTGGCGTATTTTCAAATTGATTCGTCCAAAAAATACTAAAATAGTAACGAGAAATAGGGAAGCTCGAGTCTCATTCGCAAAACGATTCGTATGAGAAAAACTGCCGTGGGGCTCGATTGAATTGTTTTGATCGTTTGATCGATAAATGAGGTCAGGAGTGAATAATCGATTAGAATGTATCGTTTGCCAGTCTCATATATTGCAAGATGGACCCACGTAGGTTGCTCCGCAACTAAACTGAAATTGATAAATCAGATTCGATTTGGTGTACAGAGGTGGACGTTGTTTCACCGACGGTGTGGGGATCTCAATCGTTCGATGAACAATTCTGAGGTCAGCTGCATAATATGTTCGGGCAAGTGCTGATCCAAGTGGTCGTTTGAGCAAGCAATTGATGTCATCACGTTTGAATGGAAGACAAAGGGTGACTAGTAGTTTTTCTGCTCAACAATTCGTTTGTGTGATCACTTTAGGCTTGCTGTGCCTTTCGATAAATGCATCGGGATAAGCGTTTCTAGTCAAAGATTCTTTCAGCTGTCGTAGTTCGTTGTCAATCATGTCTTCTGTGCAGATATGTCGTGCTGTTTGAAATAGTGTTCGGACCAGACCACGTTCATATTCCACAGACACAAAGCTGTCAAATTGCAAGCATTGGCCTGTCCAAGTTTCTTTTCGGTAAAAAGATCTAGCGATTGTTCCATCATTCTTCCTAGTCATTTTAATGTCGAGGAAGTGCAGTGTATGTTCGCGTTCTGCTTCCATCGTAAATCGTATATTCGGATGCAGGCGATCGAGTTCATCCATAATCCATGTTGTCTCTTCTAGACTTATTGTGATGACTAGAACATGATCAACGTATCGCTTGTAAAGTTGTGAACGTTGGAGGATTTTGCTTGCCTTTTCCTCAAGATGAGCCATAAATATATGTGCCAGAATGGGACTCAATGGAGTTCCCATTGGGACACCGTCAATTTGTCTGTAAGCCCGACCAAAGAAGGAGAACGATACGTTTGTTGTGCACAGTAGTAATTGTCTAACCGGAACTGATACTGGTATACCGATGCTCAGTTGGTTTTGCTCCACATGGTCACAGATGATACGTATGATTTCCCGACCGGGAACATTCGTAAACAGTGATTGGAAATCAAATGAAGCCATGTGTTGCCCTTTCACATTGATCTGGTCCAAAAGCTTTACTACTTCGAAACTGTCTTTCATAGTGTGTCTGACCATTGATTTATGAACTGGCTCGAGCAATTTCTCCAGCCATTTGGCCATTTCGTGTTGTGGTGAATTTGTCATAGATAGATTGATAGATAGATAGATAGATAGATAGTAGTAGTAGCAGTAGTAGTAGTAGTAGTAGTAGTAGTAGTAGTAGTAGTAGTAGTAGTAGTAGTAGTAGTAGTAGTAGTAGTAGTAGTAGTAGTAGTAGTAGTAGTAGTAGTAGTAGTAGTAGTAGTAGTAGTAGTAGTAGTAGTAGTAGTAGTAGTAGTAGTAGTATTGGTCCAAGTGGCACTCCGGGTTTGTGTAGTTTCGGTAAACCATACAGTTGTGCAATTTGAGTTCCTTTTGGCTTCAGATGGTTAGCTGTGCTTTCATCAATGAAGTGTCCTTCTAGTAAAAACTGTACTTCTGTCGATATCTGTTGTTCTAGTTCTTTAGGGTCTTCACAGTCATCTTCGAGTACAAACTTGCTGGGATCATGACGATCACCAGCTGGGAGTTGGTACGGACCCGCTGGTGCACGCCGTCGCGCTGCGCTCACTCCTGGAACGTGCGTTGCCAACGCTAGATGAGGCGTCACGGGCAGACCTGGTGGCAGACCGATGTGTGGATAGTCTGCCGGAGCCCTTGCGTGGGATGGTACGCGTCGCCCGTGCCGGCCGTTCACTGAATTTGGTCCAGCTCGCGGACGTGGCTCGAGAACTGGCCATGCTTGACGTACCTGTGGTCAATACGGCCCATGTCGGAGATTCATGGAAGGACGTCGAACTTGTGGGGGAGAATTATGAACTGGACCTTTCGAACCTGGAGGACGAACCAGTGAAAGCCGAAAAGTTGGAAGAAACCGAGTTTTCTTGCTGTGGAAACGTGGAATCTATCTTATACGAACAGCCTGAAATCCCGAAGGATATTGAAGGAAGTATACCGGAAACATTTCTGCTGGAGACTTCAATCACTACTGATGAGGTGGAAGATGTCGGAAAACTGAACCGTACCTCTGAAAATATGGAAAACTGTAACCGGGATTGCTCTGAAAGTCAACCTGATGATGGTGGAAACGAAGACATGTCATTTGCTCCAGTCTCCATTGCATCGAAAGACAACGGGTCATGTCTTGCGCAATGTGAAACCAAGACGCCGTTCAAAGTGGATACAGAAGACGTTTACCCCTTACCTGAGCAAGTGCCGGGTGAGGAAGTCCAACCTTATGCATCCCGAATGGAGACTGCTGGAAGTCATATCCAGGATGATAGGGGAATGACACAACGCATGGTGCTCAGTAACTTTGAAGTGGTCAGGCACGATGTCGTGCTGACGTGCGATAAAAGTCAAGTGTTGTGTTCAGTATTCACTCTCCACTGTTGCTATCTAGAGTCAAGGCTGGTGTCGGTGCGCATCCCGGACCGGACAAAGCACACCACCGGAGGGACTGTGGGACAGATGACAACACCGCCACGAACCGGTATTGGGGGATTTGCATCTGAAGTAAAGGAAGACTTGAAGACAGTCTGCAGGATTTGGATCGTCTTTTTCTCTTTTTTTTGTCAGGGGGGAGGAGTGTTGTGAGTGTATATACTACTTATTAAGTAGTTGATTGCTGAAGGCGGAACTATCGTCATTCGTGGATTACCAAAGCCGCTATGCCCAAGAGACCGAACGCAAGAAGGTGAACAGCAACAGGCGAACCGCACAACTGCTTCTCCGTCGGATGGTGACTGTCTCCAAGTGAAGGGGAACGGTGACTTTCCAAACAAGCATGTTTGTAACGTTTGTTTTGTTTTGTCGATGTCCGAACGAGCTATTGGCAATAAACAACCTAGTCACCCAGGCACGTCTTGTAGATTATAACAGTAGTAGTAGTAGTAGTAGTAGTAGTAGTAGTAGTAGTAGTAGTAGTAGTATTAGTAGTAGTAGTAGTAGTAGTATTGGTCCAAGTGGCACTCCGGGTTTGTGTAGTTTCGGTAAACCATACAGTTGTGCAATTTGAGTTCCTTTTGGCTTCAGATGGTGAGCTGTGCTTTCATCGATGAAGTGTCTTTCTAGTAGAAACTGTACTTCTGTCGATATCTGTTGTTCTAGTTCTTTAGGGTCTTCACAGTCATCTTCGAGTACAAACTTGCTGGAATCATGAAGAACACTTTCCATCTTCTTCTCATAATCATTCCGATCGATCAGCGCTGCTCCGGACCCCTTGTTAGGGCGTAAAACTAACAAATCAGGTCGCAACTGTAGCTCTTCAATGGCGGATGTGAATGTGCTCAGCGTTGCTTTGAACCAAGTCTCCGCATCGTTTCAAGTTGGTTTGACTATTTGTAGTTGTTCGAATGGATATTCGAAGTGCGCCTGTCTTCATGCTGTGTAATGTACTCGGTGGTATGCACAAACGTAGACCAAACGAAAGAGCCTGTAGTTGAAGTTCATTCGTGCAACCGATGACAAATTGATCACAAACTTTTCTCGTTGTTTCGGAAAATTTGATTCGGCTAACGAGGCTCAGTTCGTCAAGAATTATTGATCATTCGATGCACGTGGTCTGAAGGGTCGTTAGATTTTCTTTATAATCATCAATCTGACATCGCATCAAACGTCTCAAATTCCTGGTAGAGGCACATATCTTATTCCTCCGTAAGCGTTTGCAAAACGTAATCGGGTATCTGTTGCAACGGACACACTTTGTTCCAGAAAATTAATACGAACTCGAATCGTGGCAATTTTACATATCAAACTGACTAGGTCATCGAGAGACCTAATGGTTGATTTCGGGAGACGAGATCTGAGGAAATTTAGGCATGCTTTTCCCGAAATAATCTTGAAAATAAAAGCCACAGTTGCAACATTGCACGATTCATGTCCGGGACGATTTCGCCGCATCTCAACATGGTGCACACTGCACAACCATACTGTTTATATAAGTTCATGTAAAACCATAATTTTCGATAAATATAGGAGAAATTTCAATAGTCAAGTTACGTCACCATGGTAAAGACACATGAACAAAGAACTGTTTCTGTTGACACAATATTAGGTTTTCATCAATGTATGGCAGCCGTTTGAACAAACCTCAAAAGCCTGGTATTCTTTGCCACGTAAATGACCCGAATCGCAGTACTTCGGTCAGCTGGATGTTGCGTCATCAGAAGATGACGAGCGACGGCCGACGACGGGATCTTATGGTTTCGAACGTTGTCATTGTGCCTTTGATCTGACCCTGATTGCATCACAAAACGTTGTACCCATTTTGGAATATATTCAATCACTCGGTATTTCTGTCTTGTTTTTCATGAATACGTCTAACATAAGACGTTCCCACCTTGCGTCATGGGTGATGGTTTATCAATTGTTTCCTCAGATCTTTTTTCAGCATTCGAATATCTATTCGAACAACTACAAATAGTCAAACCAACTTGAAAAGATGCGGAGACTTCGTTCAAAGCAAAGCTGAGCACATTCACATCCGCCATTGAAGAGCTACAGTTGCGACCTGATTTGTTAGTTTTACGCCCTAACAAGGGGTCCGGAGCAGTGCTGATCGATCGGAATGATTATGAGAAGAGGATGGAAAGTGTTCTTCATGATCCCAGCAAGTTTGTACTCGAAGATGACTGTGAAGACCCTAAAGAACTAGAACAACAGATATCGACAGAAGTACAGTTTCTACTAGAAAGACACTTCATCGATGGAAGCACAGCTCACCATCTGAAGCCAAAAGGAACTCAAATTGCACAACTGTATGGTTTACCGAAACTACACAAACCCGGAGTGCCACTTGGACCAATACTACTACTACTACTACTACTACTACTACTAATTATAATAATAATACTACTATTATCTTTCTATCTATCTATCTATCTATGACAAATTCACCACAACACGAATTGTCCAAATGGCTGGAGAAGTTGCTCGAGCCAGTTCATAAATCAATGGTCAGACACACTATCAAAGACAGTTCAGAAGTAGTAAAGCTTTTGGACCAGATCACGCTTTGGTCGCCTTAGATTGTGAAAGAATTTGGAGTTCCTAATGCAAGTAGTCGCCCCTAACTAGGTTCAGTTTTGAAGCGACCCTCGCCAAACAGTTAGCCTTGCAATTGCTCTGTCAATACTTTTGAAAGTGAGGGTTGATTGTAGCATAGGCTAGTGTTCTTCAACGGTCAGTCAGTGTAGCAAGGCAATCGAATGATATGTTTCGTCAAGTTCCACAAGAGAACGAACAAAATGGGGCAGTAAAACACATCATACTGTTCTCTAGTTTGGCATTTTTGAAACCACAGACCATTCCAAAATCCGTCCTATACAACTGTTTCTTACCTCACTTGATTCTCTAGTGAATATGAAGCTTTCTAAGGTGTCCGTCTGTATCTGCACGAAGATGCTGAAAGCAAAGACCCCGCTGGATGGCCGACTTTAGGTAATTTATCCTTCGCTGAAAGGCCTAAAGGTTAACGTCCTGAAGCAGGTTATACAGCTTGCTACACAGAAATGCTGTGTGCATACCAAAAGAGTCGCATCCTGATTGCATAAACATTAATTAGTGACCAGTTGAGAATAGTTCACAGCTTTAAGCAAGTCATTATGGGAGTTATAACGGTTGTTGTGGGACACCAGTGGAGAGACCAGTCACATGAAGGGCACTGGAAGCCGGACTAACTTCCTTCAGCTTATTACCCTTGTCTCTGCCACAAAATGTGACCATACACGGAAGGACGAATGTACTGCGCTAAGATATGTAATCTTTTACTTCAAGGTTGCTAGACCTGGGAAATGCCCTTTTACCTCTGTCGTGAGGTATTGCGGGCACCATATCACAGCGGATACGTAATCTAACATTGCCTTCGTCATGTTCCTTCGTGTTTTCATTTTTAGTCATCTTGAATGCCGTGCCGATAAAATATGCTTTATCGGGCCTAAAGCTTGAAGCATTGAAAGTAAGCCTGTTTGTTAATTGACGTTCTAATATACGTTAGACTACGACTTCAAAGAAGACTGCCACCATTTTAGTTTCTTCCCAGGGATTACCTATAAGCTTCCCTCACTACTTATAACCCTATTCTCCAGGATGTTCATCTTTTCAACGGAAGGGACAGATTCCATGAACATAACAGTTGACGGTATATTTAGTGGTTGCAGATGACCACTTTGAAATCGGGAATGGATTAGTCATATACCAGTCAGGAATTGTAACAAGTGTTATCTACCTTGGAATATGAACACGGGTAACATCTTTCAGGACAGCCACGAGCTAAAGATTTCAAATACGTTGTACAAACTTTGCACCGCATTGATTGAGGGCTTGAATTTAGAGTTTCTATTTCCAAGTCTTTAGCACGACGACCTTGCTCAAACAAAACTCAGAACGTGTGGATATACCCTAGGGAATAAATATTTCGATTACTGATAGGTGCGTATCCTTTCTCATTTAAGGAGAACTTATTCAGCATGAAAAGCAAACAGACTAATTTACAATTTGTCCTGCAGGTTCACAACAGTTTAACATTTATAAAATAAATCATTTTTAGTTTAGGGAAATTGCGCTCGGGTTTATGAACATACCTCTTGGAATATGACTGTTTAGCTCTAAACCGAGGACCAGAAAGAGAACAGCAACTGACATGTTTGCTCAGCAAGTTTGAAACTGACAAGAAGGATGATAATGTTATTAAATTTGTTTTGCCTAATATATTCCGCTATAACGAGCGTATCCAATAGAATCGTGTGTGCGAATAATCACGTGAACGGTAACGGAACGAATGATGTTTGCCGGTAGATCGTCCAACGACACACTCCGTTCAAAATGACCCAGGAAAGTGCAGTTCCTCTGCCGTAGATTTATGTAATTTTCCCCTTCGTTTTTCAAGCTTTCATAGTAAACACTTGTACACACCCACACCCGTACTACCGAACGAAAAGCATCGGACTGTTAAACCCACTGCTCGGGTCATTGTGATTCATCCATCAAGTACTGAACAACTCCTTTCGCCCAAATCATTTGTTTTGATTTCTGCGCTCTCATCGAATCATTCAAACTAATAAATTTTCCATTTATTTGAAGTATTGGAAAACTCTGTCTAGGATACCAGGAATCATTTCTATCACAACCTCAATGAAAATTTCTATTGATTCATGAAAACTCATGCTGCAGAGAGAAAATTCTTTTCACTTCATCCTTTAAGCATTCACTACGTAGTACGGAGTAACTGGGAATAAATATAGTTCTAGATAATATGATCTATCATTTGCAAATAGTTCTAGATAACAGGGTTGAATAAACATGCAATAAGTCCGAGGTCTTTACTACATACTAAAATCTAATGATCCTTTTCAATTCTGGTGTGAAATTATATGTGAATTGTGTGGCCAGTAAGAAGGAGTAGACATGTGCTAAAGTTGGGTGCGTGAAATGTCATAAGATTGATGAGTTTGACAATAGAAAGTACAGAGGGAAACTCTTGTTATGGCCACGGAAACAACAACAACGATTCCACAAGACCGTCCCACGAAACTGTTATTGTTATTGCCGTGGCTCTCACCTTCGAACTTATACGGCTTCTGCTATCATACGTAACTGCCTACGTGGTCGTTTGCTGTGAACTGCACAAGTGGTCAGGACCGTCACCGCATCGATTGGCTGTCTACTATCAAACAAGTGTTGCAAGATTGTGTCTTTGATAGTGTGAACTGTTCCCTTGCGAAGAAGGATAGGAAAATGTCCTTCTGTCTCAGGGAACGACAAACATACCTGTCCACGGGATTATTGTTTGAATGAGTGCAAAAGTAATTACAACTGGTTCCTGGGCCCGTGAATAGTTCGCAAATTCGCCTACTTCAATAATTACAAATATTCGTTTCTCTTTGCAACCTTATTTTTTTCCTTTGGGTAAATAAGATTTGTCATTTACACGGGCTTCGACATTTATTCTTCTTCTACATAGAAATTTCATATTCCC